CGCTTGGCTGCTTTTATGTTGAACCCGAGGCGTTATCAGATGGCCTGTCCCTGAGAGTTTTGTACATCCCTAAAATGTATAGAGCACTAGAGGCAAGTGAGGCACTGGGGGATGAAGGGTTCTTTAGAGTGATTACTTGTGTTTTACCAACCAGCTTCATCAATCAATCATTTAATCAATCAATATTACTTATAGAGCCCTTTACAACACTCAAGGCGACCAAAGTGCTTCACAATAAAATGGCATAAAATCCATTTAAAACATGTGTACATTAAAAACAAAACAGATTTAAAAACATTTAAAAAGTGTCACCTGCATATTGAGTGATAAAAGTGTTAAAAGCCAGTCTGAATAAATATGTTTTGAGCCTGGATTTATAAAGGCCAAAATCAGTCAGGGAGCAGCTTGTTCCAGAGTCTGGGTCCAGCGACTGAGAAGGACCGGTCTCCCCAGTGTTTGGACCTAGAGATGAGGACCTCAATGATCTGCCTGAGTCACGAACAGACAAAAGTTCGGACAAGTACGGCGGGGCGAGACCATTGAGGGCTTCATGAACAAAACTTACATGTGATTTCTCAAGATTAGCAGATAATGTATTTCAATGTACTACAGTGAATTAGTGACAGCAAAATGGATTGAATGATGAAATAGATAATAACCAACATTGACTTATCTATTCACATCCACACAGAATGCATCACTTCATGCACAGTACAACACTGTAGCCACAGCTGCCCGTGGGCACACTGACTAAAGCTGAAATGGGATGTGTGTTTTCTCAATGGAAGGGGACATACTTACCATACTAACCTAGGCATAGTAACTCATTGGCCGCTTAACAGTGAATAAAACACACACACTTCCAAGGGGTTGCTTTTCTGTTACACAACTTTGACTGCATCCTTCTCGTGGCACGGGAGGAAAATGAATACAACAAAAAACAAAGGGGTGTGTCCAGATAACTACTCCCCAAATATAGTTCTGTAAACAAACGGTAATGGTGTGTAATATGTGTCACTTTTAATTATTATAAACATTAACTTAAATCAACATTAAAAATAAATGAGAGTTGCCCCTGCAGCTACAACAATCCTTCAGTTGAATGCACAGCTGAACAGAACTGTTTTAGCTTGGATTTGAACATTGTCAGAGTCAAACCCTGCCTCACGTTTTAGGAATAACTGAATGTTTAGTCCTGATTGTGCACCAGCAGGAGGCCAGTTCCTGTGCTCCTGAGACTTGGCTCATATGGTACAGATGTAAACACATAATAGATGGATTCAGCGAAAAAAAAAAAAAAAACCTATGAATCCTATGATTTTAGCGGCTCTTTTTAGTGGTTCTTCAAAGGCAGACTCCCATGTTGGTCTGCCGCCATACGTCTTCCGGCTGTCTCCAGAACAAAGTGCCTGCTTTTACACATCTATCTTTTGTGAACAAGTTATTTTTCCTGCACCTTTAAACAACAATTTTACAGTTCACCAACATAACGTTCTTCGGAGAATCGCTTTGTTTTGGAGTACACCAACACACTCATTCAGCATTGCATCCATCGACCCAGGACTACTTTAAAATATTGCATTTTCATTCCCTGGCAAATTGGAAAGTCTTATATTTTTGCAGTTTAAAAGTTTCCATCTCCTGCTGCAAACGGCATCTTTTATGTCAGTTTACTTCTCTAGAGTATATGGAGTTACGCCAAGAATATCTGTGCGCAATATTTCATTTAAGAGACAGCTTGATTAAACAGTCTGCCTAGAGAAAAAGACTTGAAAATTGCCTTAGCTATGAAGAGAGAAAAATCAATATATTTGTCTGCCCTGGTATGTTGGACTATTACAAACACAATATGTGATAGCACTTTAAGAATTCATTTGGAATCAATTGACTCTTTGCAGAAATACGCTGGTGTTTTTTTTGGAACTGTGTCAAATGATGTTTCTCTCTTTGTTGGAGTGCAATGTTCGAGGTACATTTTAAGTCTTACAGGATTTTCTCATGATCAAACTTTAATGAGTTGTGGTGCGCCGAGAAAACACTCTGCAGATTTGACTCGGCTCCAAAAGCTCCCAGGTTTTCTTGGCCCTGTTCTGAAGGTGAAGTTATTGCCAGACACCTTGAGACGGCTCTGCGTTAACAGCTAAAAGCATGCCAGGAGGGAGTGCTAACTAACTGCTACCTGCTGAGGTTATCAGTCTGCCTGTATCCCACGCTCACTAGAAAGAAACCTAAAACAAAGCTTTATACAGCTTTTTCCATGGAAATATTAAAGGTGAAATTATTTATGTGATGCTAAACTTTTTGGGATTTTAACCAATTTGAAATATATCCAAAACATGGGGTTGTTTTTAGATACATGCATGCTAATATCAGGAACTTATGTCCCCTTCTGTCTAAGAGCACCTGCCTCTTGCCTGCCTTTCCTGTAATACTATGATTTGAAATTAAATTAAGTGTACACATTTTCTCCGCAAGGAATTTTGTCCTCTGCATTCGACCCATCCTGGAAATGCCAGTATGGCTTCTGTCAAAAGATGTGGTCGCCGTAGTACAGCGCCTGGGAAACCTTCTCCAAATGTTGATTGGACTATCGGAGCTGGAGGATTTTACCTATTGGGCATGATTATAGTGGGAGGGGAAAAGGATACAGGGAGAATATATAAACGCCAAAATACCCTGTTCCGACAGGGATTCAAACCCAGGACCTTCTGGCTGAGAAGCATTAGTGTTATAACCACTGTGCCGCACCCACATGTCAGTGGACCACTATCACATCAAATTTAGAGCAGTTTTTGACTTTTACAACACAAGTTAGTATTGGGTAAAATCTCTTTTACTGAGAAACTGCTCATCACACTCAAAGCCAACTAGCATGGTTTGCTGCTGGTAGTTTTCAAATTTGGAAATTCAAATCCTTCCTCTGGTGGTGGCATAGGGAGTTACAGGTGGAAATCATTGTTTAACCATTGTACTTGTTTCCTCACATATTTTCAACTTGAGTTTTGCATTCTAACACTTGAAATGACAAAAAAATAAATAATCTAATTTTCACGTGGCTGAGTGCACTCTCGCCTCTTGGTAAGGTCCTAGGTTTTAATCCAGGTCGGAACAGGGCCTTTCTGAGTAGAGTTTACATGTTCTCCACGTGTCTGATCCAGTTTCCTCTGGGTGCTCCGGTTTTCCCTACCACTAAAAGTATGTACAATCGTTCAGGGTGAATGAGTGTGCGGTTGTGAGTGCGGCTGTGGGATGACGCACGGATATTAGCTCAAGGCTACATTCCGGAGTGATGTGTTCATTGACATGTACTGTCCCAACCTGCTTACAATCTTTAAAGCTTTGGTAACTATTATTTCCTCATACATTTTGCATTGTTTGACATGTTTTTTAAAGGTTAAATGTTAAAAATTCAGACTCTTTTTATTATATATTTGAAAACATTCTCTTGTAATGAGACAGGCCATTTAGGCTGAAAAATGTAATCTAAAAATACTCACCTATTTTTTCTAGTCAACTTATTTCTCAGTTTTTACATATTTCATAAAATGTCCAAATATACATTGCAACTTGTCACAACACACAACAGCCATTTTTCAAGTCAGCAGCCACTCATACACATATTTTTTTGTTGGAAATGAACAAAGCCTTGGTTTTGCAGTGAGTTTGTCTCTTAGGGGTCCCAGAGGAGCGTACCTCTCCACCCTCTGTGCCCTGGGGTCCTTCTCTGCATGTGGGGCTTACATCGCTGCCACTTATCAAGACGTGCAGTAATCATCGCCACGCTCTGCGCTGAGGAGCTGGTGTTGACACAGTTTATATCACTGTACACAAAATAAAATACGTTTCTAACATTAGTTCCACTGTTTATCTGTAGTTTGGAGGCGATGTTCTGACCCACTTTTACCACTTTTTAGAGCTTTAGATAATTTTGGGTAGAAAAGAGACAGGGTTTGGTTAAGTCTGGATTAGAAATCAGTGCAATCGATATTCAGTATAGTCTACTGCAAAAGTGAGTTTCTAATGCGCTTTTCTCTTTGAGATTGTTTTTCTTGGCAATATTCCGTTGATTGTTTTATTTTGTAATTGTTTGCTCATGAGTTTGTATTTTATTCATTTTGTGCGGTTTGAAATATTTTTAGGCTTCACAAATACACTAAAATAATACCCATCAAGTTTGTCTGAAGCTCTTTTTATTGTTATATATTGCTAATTTGTTGAACATAAATGCATTTGTTCCTACATTATGGAGCTATGTTTTGACCTTTGAATTAGTTATAACCAACAAGAATTTAGATTTTCCAGTAGATTTTCTTTAACAACAAAATGGGTTCAGCTATGTTTGGATTGAGACACAACTCGAAGATTATTAAACTGATCAGGCAATTATTATAAGTTACTATGTAATCCAATTACAAGTTGGGTGTAATAATTATAATTATTCAATTATATAGGATAATTATATGGTTTTTAAGGGAAAAATTGCTTTAAAGTGTACTTGCACATGCTATGGTGGTCCATAATAACTTATCGCCATGAAAGCATGCAAGTTCAGAACCAACCTCCAATTGAACTGAACCAGACTATAAAGTGTGAATATTCCAAGACCTGACAGTGGTGCATTCTTACCGGCTTTTCGTCTAATAACTTTATGGCTCTATTGTAAAGAATTCTCAGTGAAATTATTGAGGTTTGATTTGGCATTTAGATTTGACTTCTCATCCATAAATACAACTATAAATGCAGTCACTCAGCCAAGCGATGAGGGTGGCACCTGATATTTCCAATCATTCAGGGGGTGGAATATGCTTAGCTTGGCCACTACACTGACCATACCCACACACACAGAACCTTTAAATGAGAAATCCACTGTCCCTTCCCGTCTTCCCAGTCTTCAGTGAAGACAGCCCCCTGACTTCTAAGGCAGTGCATTTACATCTGCCCTTTCCTAATCACAATGGCATTTCTCAGCTCTCTTTGTCCTATCTTTTTTTTCCCCACAGTCCCGCCCAAAATCATCAACCTGTCCAAAGACCTGGTGGTGAACGAGGGCTCCAACGTGACTCTGGTGTGTCAGGCCAGCGGCAAACCAGAACCTGCCGTCAGCTGGAAGCTCATCTCTCCCTCCGGTAGGTGTCTGCTGTGTGAGACTGGCTTTGGATTTTGGAATGAAAATGACAATATTCAGCAAATGTATCTTATTATCTATTTTATTATTATTATCATTATGTTTAATCATTATTGGAAGCATCAAGAAAGCAAGAGACAGATTACATTATTAAAAAAAATGCAAATCCATATTTACATGGGATTCACACAGATAAGGAATTAAAGAAAGTAAAAAGAGGGGAGGGGGGATTCTTATCTGGTTTAATGCATTATGGTGTGTGCGTGTTTGTGTGTGTGTGTGTGTGTGAACTACTGTTAATGCTGGATATAATCATAAAAGTTAGGACATTTAGTTACTGATGTTAGTAACAGTGGGAGTACTTCTGTGTGATGTTGTTGTGATGAATAGAAAAAAAAACAGGTTTGTTATGGAGTTGTTAAAGGAAGTGTTGGATTCTGCTGTGCGAGCCCAGGTGTGTGTCTGTCTGGTCTATTTTTATTTTAAAAAATGCGCAAAAGCATTTTATGTGAGTGCCATGTTAATGTGGAGAAGCTATACCTATAAGTCTTGCTAGCTTTGTTTTTGCGAAAAGACATTTGTAAAGCCATTGCAGTGAATTATTGCAATGTAAGTATGTGTGAGAAGGTGAACTGCTGGAAATTGTTTTAGAAGAACCCAATAAAGGACAATAATGAAAAAAGGTAGACATTTTGAGGATGTTTACTCAGTTCAACTTTGTCTTTAAAGAGACAAAATAAAACACACACTTTACCGCTTGGTTGTGACATTGTTTCACCTTCAAAACAGACAAAGTTGTTGCTAGGTCCATACAGGCTAATATCAGGAACGTTTCGCACAAATATATAGCTCTATCCATTCTGTCTAAATATTCCTTATGCTCAGAGATTTTTTTTTTTTGCCTTTTAAAACTGTCCATGAACTTGCTTTGGCCATTGTATGTCCGACAAAAATGCTACTGCTCCGACTGATGGTAGCCAAGAAAGTTATAGGCAGAATGCATTTGTTTTACTATACAATTTCAACTTGAGATGTAAATTCACATTCTAAAAAAGGAATCATCAATGGCCAAAAAATAGTGCATCATATTTCTTCTTTATTATGGTTCCTCACATTAGCAGTAGAACGCTCCATTGACTTAAATGTATTTTCAAATCGTTCTACCAGTCATAATTTATTTATAACGGACCTCAGAAAACAATGATGACATCCAGGGCAGACGCAAACAGTCCAGTTGGCCCTGGTGGTACTTATTTTCTGATAATGACCCACGTTCTGTACATAATACCTAACTTAATGCTTTATTTAGGGTTGATTGTGGTTTCTATATTGAACTAAGTTGAGTAAATTGCGGTGTTGTTTTTTTCCCAAAACCTGTACAGGCTCATAGTGGTCAACGTGAGAATATTTACCAAGAAACTGAACTAGATGGCTGCAGTGTGTAAAAGAATAGACATACTGTATGCATAAACCACACTGCACTCTCACCTCAGTGCTCTGGAGTCAGCAGCTCATTGGTTTTAAGCACTTTCTAAGTCCAGCAGAACCCGCACCAAAGTCCAAGTTGGTGTGAGGCCGGGTTAACCCCAGCAGGCCTGCAGTACGGACTTTACACAGGCAGACGTCTGTACTCTCCGGGGCTTGGTATTGCATTCTGAAAGTTGTGTATTGAATAAAGCATGTGCAAGATAGAGAAAAACAAATGCTTGGTCCTATAAATGTTTCAAGAAAATGAGATAGGCTTGATTGGTGAGATCTTTGAATCAAATTAAATCTCTAGCTTTATCATAACAAGGAAGCAAGTCTAAGATCTCAAACTATAGCATAATGAAGAAGCAAAAATATGTTTAAAGCTCTGACCCTAGCATAATAAAATTGTTGTCAAATTAATTAAAATACTACATATACATCATGCACAGGAGTAGTAACTGCTGCCTGCTGGAATCTACTGTGGATAGCTGTATCTAAAGAATAGCTGCATTTATTTTTAGCATTTAGCACGACTATCTTTGTGTGGGACATTACCTCCCCTATGTCCGCTCCTGTCACCTCCACCGTTGTAACTTTCCATGACCCTGCGGATTATCCCCTACGTGCTTCTCGCCCGACCGTCATTACCGCCCAATTATTCGTAGACAAACAAACCGGCCCTGTTGTAATTGCGCTAATTAATTTGCATAATTGGATGGATTTAAATGTTGCAAAGGGCCTTTTGAATGACAAGAATACGCTGGAAACATTAGCATAGCACAGACAAAGATGATTGTTTCACGGCTTTGTTTTGCATGTTTACGCCCATTGAGGAACCAGCCATTTTTGAATACTATTTCTGGTTCAATGTATCTGTGTTGAGTGTGTTGCTTAATCAGTCCACATTGGTGTCAAATCAACATTTAAAAAGCGCTGTGTCTGTTGTGCCGTAGCTGCAAACGGGGGAATTGAAATGTTTATATGCGACGAGAGCAAAACTGACCTGTCTTGCGTAGATAAGCAGGCGAGGGAAATTGATTGGCTTCTTTCTGCTAAATGTTACGTCCTTTTGCGTGCATTTATTGTCCCGGCTGTGGAAAGGGCGCCGGTGAATGTCTGCATGTTGTCTTGGCAAAGGCGAACATGTGGAAAGACAGAATACGAGAGAGGTCGCGGTGTCACAGATGGAGAGTTGGTATTAGACATGTCACCCGGAGGAGTTGGTATCTTCTTGAGTGCGCTGTTGTCATTGTGTGATGGCCGTCTCTAGAGAGGCTCTTTCCGGCCGGGTGACAGTTATCGGTAATAGAACGTGCCGGACAAACACTGTTACCCTAAGCGTCATTCTGCAGAGGTGGAATAAAGTGACATTGTATTGGCTCCAAGGAAATTGAATGGAGCGTGATAAGACTTAATCTTGGGCGGCATTGGGGGTTCAGTGGTTAGCACACTCGCTTGGCAGGAAGAAAGTCCAGGGTTTTGATGCCACAACACACTTGCAACACTTTTGTTAATCATTTTCCTATCACAGTTATATGGATTAACACAGTGGTGGACCCTCAATGACTGCAAGGCCTTCTCTGCTGGCCTAAACATGATAACATATATATATATTTTATAATATATATATAATGTATAATTTTTCTACTTATTATTTTTTTCCTCTGTTTATTTTCCCACAAACTATGTTGGGTTGCGCAGCGTCCAACTTCAGGTCGGCATTTGGGAGGTCTGGCGTCTAACAGAGTTTTTATCCAATCATTGGTCAGCGTCATATGTTGCTATGGCCCAGAATCTGCCTCTAGGCCTTCAAAGTGGGAGTCTGTGGCACTAAACATTTTGGAGATCGCTGGGTTAGGACATCACTGCAGGCGTAGGTCTGAAATGCACGGCCCGCCACAGGATTAAAATGACCAAATCATAATGAAAGCTATGGCCGTTTTTGATGTACTTTATTAAATATTGTGAAAACATGCAATCTTCATATTTTCACGCCTCTGTCAGACAGACAGACATGACAGAGATAAAAAAAATATGCATGTGAAAATTAGTAATGGAACCAGCCTGTTACTGAACTGGGAGAGTTTGGAATGTATTATATGGATCATACGACATAATTGCATCTTTTTATGGTTTAAAATGTAAGTACTATACCCTAGAATGAAGTCAAATAAACGTATTACCTCAAATACACTGGATTGTAGAAGCAACCGGGCCGAGCAGGAATTGAAACATTGTGATTGTTCTGAGTTTACCAGATTGCGGCTGAGAATAGCCGCAGGTAGAAAGTATTGATTTAGCAGCAGCCTATCTCAGAGAGTGAAGTGTGAAGGTCCATGTCTTGCTTCAGGAGATAGCTGGATTGGTTTTACATTGCCAAGTCACTGCTCCTTTTGTCTTAAGTGGTATTTGCTTTGCTCCTAGCAAAAGGATTATACCAGTCTTCTAGATCAAAGATACTGAGTAGCAAATGGGTCTATGTAGCCTTGTCATGAATACACTGCTCTTAAAGGAGACATTCTTTGAAAATTAACTTTATTTATATTTTAACCACACATGTTGCAACAGTGTTCCCACATAAAAAATAAATAAAAAATAATCAATACTAAGTTGTTTGTCAATCCATCCACTCACAAAACTACACTCCTGTCTAAACGGCGACAGTGGCACAGTTGGTAGAGCATTGGCCTTTGAGCCTGAAGGTCGTGGGTTCGAGTCCACCACGAGACTCTCTCCACCGATGTCTGCTGTTGTTGTGTCCTTGGGCAAGACGCTTGACCCACTTTGCCTAGATATGGAGCGCAGAAGTGATGTTTGCTGCTTGGCTTGATGTACATATGTGTATGTGTATGCACCCATTGTGGGACCTTCTTCTTCATAAGCGCATGTCTTTGTCATGTAGTATTTGCCTTTGTGATTTCTCAAGCCAAATGGCGTTCTTTGCAATCGGATGGGTGTGTTTGCTACCACTATTTTTATTTTTCCAAATCAGAAAATGAGCGGATGCACAGGGAGTTACTGGAGGAAAGCATTTGAGATATTATTTCACAACCAAACCCATGATATGACAAAGCTAATAGTGTCATTATCACATTAATGGCCACACAAGATACGTTTTCTTTAAATTAAGAGTCACTGTATGAAGTTGCTGACACACTTCACCAGCTCATTAAAGATCACATGTGTTTAATCTTAGGCAAAAAAAAGGATTATTTTGCGCAGCAGTGAGAGCGCTCGCCTCACAGTAGGAAGATCTTGGGTTTGACTCGAGGGAAGCTTTCTGCGCAGAGTTTGTATGTTCTCCCCATATCTGCCCAAGGTTCCCCTGGGTGCTCCAGTTTCCCTTCACATGTAAAATAGACTACCTCCCTCTGGGGCCAGGACTCAGGAGATTCTGAAATTTCAGCGGAACTATCCTGGTTAGATAAAGGTCACTAGAAAATGTGAGTTCACTGGCCATAATAATTTAAATAACTTAACAGATATAGCTCATGGTACCCTTGGGGGAAGAAAATAATGAAAAAAATATGT